ATTTTGGAAAAAAAAATTTTGAGAAAATAAATTTAGGCAAAAAAAAATTGGGGAAAAACCTTGGACTTTGATTTTTTTAATTAGAGAAAAATTTTGGAAAAAAAAATTAGGGAAAAAATTGGGAAAAAATTTTGGGAAAAAAAATTGAGGAAAAATTTTAGGGAAAAAAAATTTTTTGACCAAAATTTTTTTTCCCAAACTTTTTTTTTCCAAAATTTTTTTGATGGACCTAAACTTTTTTGACCAAAAATTTTTTGGAGCAAAATTTTTTTTCCCAAATTTTTTTTTCCCAAAATTTTTTTACCCAAAATTTTTTTTGACCAATTTTATTTCCAAAATTTTTTTTGGCCAAAATTTTTTCCCAAAATTTTTTTCCCGAAATTTTTTTGACCAAAATTTTTTCTCAAAATTTTTTTTCCCAAAATTTTTTGGACCAAAATTTTTTTTCCCAAAATTTTTTTTTTCCAAAATTTTTTGGACCAAAACTTTTTTGACCAAATTTTTTTTGACCAAAATTTTCTTGACCAAAAATTTTTTTCCCATAATTTTTTGGACCAACATTTTTTTGACCAAAATTTTTTTGACCAAAAATTCTTTTGTCTAAAAATTTTTTTGACCAAAATTTTTTTGACAAAAATTTTTTTTCCCAAATTTTTTTTTCCCAAAATTTTTTTCCCAAAATTTTTTTGATTGACCAAAATTTTTTGGACCTAAACTTTTTTGACCAAACATTTTTTTGACCAAAATTTTTTTGACCAAATTTTTTTTTTTTCCAAATTTTTTTTCCCCGAAAATTTTTTTTCCCAAAATTTTTTTCCCCGAAAATTTTTTTTCCCAAAATTTTTTTTGACATTCCGACATTCCGATAATCCGACATTCCGATAATCCGACATTTCGACACTTCGATATTCCGACATTCCGATACTCCGACATTCCGATACTCCGACATTCCGATACTCCGACATTTCGATAATCCGACATTCCGATAATCCGACATTCCGATAATCCGACATTTCGACACTTCGATATTCCGACATTCCGATAATCCGACATTTCGACACTTCGATATTCCGACATTCCGATAATCCGACATTCCGATAATCCGACATTTCGACACTTCGATATTCCGACATTCCGATAATCCGACATTCCGATAATCCGACACTCCGACACTCCAATACTCCGACATTTCGATACTCCGACATTCCGATAATCCGACATTTCGACACTTCGATATTCCGACATTCCGACATTACGATAATCCGACATTTCGACACTTTTATATTCCGACATTCCGATATTCCTACATTCCGATACTCCGACATTCCGATAATCCGACATGCCGATACTCCTACATTCCGATAATCCGACATTCCGATAATCCGACATTCCGATAACCCGACATTTCGACACTTCTATATTCCGACATCCGATACTCCTACATTCCGATACTCCGACATTCCGATAATCCGACATTCCGATACTCCGACATTCCGATAATCCGACACTCCGATACTCCGACACTCCGACACTCCTACATTCCGATAATCCTACATTCCGATAATCCGACATTTCGACACTTCGATATTTCGACATTCCGATAATCCGACATTTCGACACTTCGATATTCCGACATTCCGATAATCCGACATTTCGACACTTCGATATTCCGACATTCCGATACTCCGACTCTTCGATATTCCGACATTCCGATAATCCGACATTCCGATAATTTGACATTTCGACACTTCGATATTTCGACATTTCGACACTTCGATATTTCGACATTCCGATACTCCGACACTCCGATACTCCGACACTTCCATACTCCGACATTCCGATAATCCGACATTCCGATAATCCGACATTTCGACACTTCGATATTCCGACATTCCGATACTACGAAAAAAAAATTGGAAAAAATATATGTTAGCAACGGTTGTCATAGCAACGGTTACCATTCAGCAAAATAATTTTACTGATTGGTTATCGGTAACCATATCAACGGTTGCTAGGCAACGAAAATCTGAATTTACTGAAAATTTTGTGTTAGCTCTGACTAACATTTTCCTGGCTGTATTTCACGTCGTGCACAACACAAAAGTTTCAGTGGACTGAATATTGATTATTTTTCGACATTCCGATAAAATCATTTTTCTACCAGGGGAACACAGTCACAATTTTGAATTAAAATGGCGCTGTCAAATGTAAAAATGTGACTGTTCTCCTGATACATACCGTTGCTAATATTTCAGTAAAATTATTTTGCTGAATGGTAACCGTTGCTATGACAACCGTTGCTAACTATTAAAATTATATTGCGATTTCCTAGCAACCGTTGCCAACAAAATTTTCAGTAAAACCGTTGCTGACATATATTTTTTTCCAAATGTTTTTCCAAAAAAAATTTTAGGTCAAAAAA